ATTGTGTGGGCAGTGGTAATTTGCCGAATCAGAACGAGAGAGATTCTGTCCAAGATTCAGTGTGACTGCCGTGATGTGAGGCATATTGTACAGAATTGTAGATGTGTATGTGAGCGGAGTGGGGAGTGTTTGAGATAAAGACTGAGTTTGTGTGATCCACCGAGGCGAGTATACACCATGAAAGGAAGCAATGTCTGAATTAAAAACAAAATTCAGACACGAAAAGTAGTGTCAATTTATTGGATGTCTTGTGAACATCACGTGATTCTTTTAAACAATATACAAAACAAGATGCTGGCTGAGGCTATCCGTCCGGTGACCGTACGCCTGTTTGCAAATCGATTCGGTAATCGGTGTGAGATATGGGGGGGGGGGACGAGAACGGAAATAAACGAGATAATATGATGAAGAAACTCTGACTGGCAGAAAGACTTAAAAGGGAGGAACGGGAGTTTGGTTTAGTCATTCTGACGCGCAGAACAAGACTGTTTCACAGCAGAAACCGAAATGATGATGAGCATCGAATGAGAACAATAACGGTGATGATGATGATGATGGTGGTGATAGTAAATGAAACAAGAAGGCAATACGAAAGCCCGTTGGTTCGGATGCATCACCAGTATTATCCGAAGGACGGGGATTGTAGTTCCAAATCTGTCAGATCCAATATATCAGGTACACAATAGCCCGTCGGTGAGGAAATCGGTACGGACGAACCGAAAAACAATTTCTCATCCAGAATGCGCAGACACAGCCATTCGCCAGTTTGAGTGAGAATCAATGCATCTAGAGGTTGACTGTCCTTCAAATAAGTTTCGCTTCGTTCCCGTGCAGCAACCAACCAGTCCACATTCAGCGTGTGAAGAATCGGGTCCGGTAGTGGGATTGCTTGCCACGCGTGACCGATTTGCAGTTCAGACGGGGCTGGCAACCTTCGTGTCAACTGATCCGTGCCATTTGGGGACTTGAGAACACTGTGCACGAGGCCAATACGAAGATAGATTTGTCGTGGAATGGTGTTGGACACGAGCCAGACTCGGTCTTCAGTAACGTGAATACTGATAAAAGTACGATGAGAGAAGAGATCGCAGATGCGCTGAGGTTACCGTGAGTACCGATCCATCAAACAGATAGTCACGTGATACTAATGTAGAACAACACAGCAGAAGTAAACACATCATTTATGGACGGAAGTTCAACTACGAAAAATCGATTGGTAAAAACTCCTAGTTGTCTTAACTACGGCAATTGAGAATAAACACCCTCGATCCAATACAAAACCCACTCTTGCATTGCACTTATTCGTATCTGAGGTATTGGCAAAGTTTTCTTTTTTTAAATAAGACCCGGAACTCGCCGCTGGGAGTAATAACAGACATTCAACAACACCATAACAGTGATAGTTTATAAGAAAAAATGCTGCAGTTCATATCTTTCATGGGGTATTCTGGAGTATTCTGTTACCGCCAGGTGGCAGGGAGCTATGCCTCTGAGGGTTGGCAAAAGCCGTTTAAGATGCTATGTAATGGCACACACGCAGCACAATACGGGCGTTAAAACAATAACAGTAAGATTGTTCATATCAACGATATTTTTTAGCAATTTTTATTGAAATAGGCCGTTGTTACCAGACTTTTCGGAATGGAAGCTAAAGACGATCAAAGGCTGCCCGAGCACACGTATATAAGTGATAGGCAGTGGTTCGGCAGAGATTTACAGAAT